GTCGACGTAAGCCTCCCCAAAGCAGACCTTGATGTTTCTCTTCCCAAAGGAGAGATTGAAGCACCAAGCTTGGACATTGAAGGCCCAGAAGGAAAAGTGAAAGGTCCCAAATTTAAGATGCCTGAAATGCACTTCAAGACACCAAAGATCTCAATGCCTGATATTGATCTGAACCTCAAAGGTCCAAAACTGAAGGGAGATGTGGATGTGTCTGTCCCAAAGCTGGAAGGTCCAGATGTGGATATCAAGGGTCCTTCATTGGATATTGATGCACCTGATGTAGACATTGAAGGTCCTGAAGGAAAGTGGAAAGGTCCAAAGTTTAAGATGCCTGAAATGCACATGAAAGCTCCCAAAATCTCCATGCCAGATTTTGACTTTAACTTGAAAGGACCCAAAGTGAAAGGAGATGTGGATGTCTCAGTACCGAGCTTGGAGGGTGATCTGAAGGGCCCTGACCTTGACATCAAAGGGCCCAAACTAGACGTTGATATTCCAGATGTTGATCTTGAAGGACCTGAAGGGAAGTTGAAAGGACCCAAATTTAAAATGCCAGAGATGCATTTTAAGACTCCTAAAATCTCAATGCCAGATGTGGACTTAAACCTGAAAACTCCCAAACTGAAAGGCGACCTGAATGTCTCAGTTCCAGAGGGTGATTTGAAAGGCCCAGAAATTGACATCAAAGGTCCAAAGCTGGATATTGATGCCCCAGATATTGACCTACATGGTCCAGAAGGAAAACTCAAAATGCCTAAGTTCAGGATGCCCAAGTTTGGCATACCCAGCTTCAAAGGGGAAGGCCCAGATGTGAATGTAAGCCTCCCCAAAGCAGACCTTGATGTTTCTGTCCCCAAAGTTGAACTTGAAGCACCATGTATGGAGATTGAAGGCCCAGAAGGAAAAGTGAAAGGTCCCAAATTTAAGATGCCTGAAATGCACTTCAAGACACCAAAGATCTCAATGCCTGATATTGATCTGAACCTCAAAGGTCCAAAACTGAAAGGAGATGTGGATATTTCTGTTCCAAAGGTGGAAGGCCCAGATGTGGATATCAAGGGTCCCAAACTGGACATTGATGCACCTGACATTGAACTTCATGGACCAGAAGGAAAGCTGAAGATGCCAAAATTCAAAATGCCCAAATTTGGCATGCCCAGCTTCAAAGGGGAAGGCCCAGATGTGGATGTAAGCTTCCCCAAAGCAGACCTTGATGTTTCTGTCCCAAAAGTAGATATTGAAGCACCATGTATGGACATTGAAGGCCCAGAAGGAAAAGTGAAAGGTCCCAAGTTTAGGATGCCTGAAATGCACTTCAAGACACCAAAAATCTCAATGCCTGATATTGATCTGAATCTCAAAGGTCCAAAACTGAAGGGAGATGTTGATGTGTCTGTTCCAAAGCTGGAAGGAGACCTCAAAGGGCCAGATGTGGATATCAAAGGTCCCAAATTGGATATTGATGCACCTGATGTAGACATTGAAGGTCCTGAAGGAAAGTGGAAAGGTCCGAAGTTTAAGATGCCTGAAATGCATATCAAAGCTCCCAAAATCTCCATGCCAGATTTTGACTTTAACTTGAAAGGACCCAAAGTGAAAGGAGATGTGGATGTCTCAGTACCGAGCTTGGAGGGTGATCTGAAGGGCCCTGACCTCGACATCAAAGGGCCCAAACTAGACGTTGATGTTCCAGATGTTGACCTAGAGGTTCCAGAAGGGAAGTTGAAAGGGCCCAGATTTAAGATGCCAGATATGCATTTTAAGGCCCCTAAATTCTCTCTGCCTGATATGAACTTGAAAGGCCCAAAGGTGAAAGGAGATGTGGATATATCTGTGCCAAAGATTGAAGGTGATTTGAAAGGTCCAGAAATAGACATTAATGTTCCTCAGATAGATCCTCCTGACCTTGATATTAAAGGACCTGAAGGCAAAATGAAAGGCCCTAAATTTCAAATGCCTGATTTTAACATCAAGGCCCCCAAAATCACCATGCCAGATGTAGACTTCAACCTCAGAGGCCCTAAACTGAAAGGAGACGTTGATCTAGATGTATCTGCTCCCAAAATAGATGCTGATTTGAGGGGACCAGATTTTGATATCAAGGGCCCTAAACTGGATGTCTCTGTAGCTGATGTGGAATTGGAACGTCCTGAGGGAAAACTTAAAGGTCCTAAGATCAAGATGCCTGAAATGCATTTTAAAACTCCCCAAATCTCCATGCCAGATTTTGACTTGAACTTGAAAGGTCCCAAAATGAAAGGAGATGTGGATGTTTCTGTGCCTAAGTTGGAAGCTGACCTGAAGGCTCCCGACGTTGACATCCGAGGTCCCAAACTAGACATCGATGTTGAAGGTCCTGAAGGAAGTTGGAAAGGTCCCAAAATTAAGATGCCTGAAATGCAGATGAAACCCCCCCAAATCTCCATGCCTGATGTGCAGCTTGGTCTGAAAGGTGACTTCTCTGGACCAAAATTTGGAGGCGATTTGAAAGGTCCTGAAATTGACATTGCAGCTCCCACTGTTGATATCCAAGGTCCAGATGGAAAAGTAAAATTACCCAAGATGAAGCTTCCTAAATTTGGTATCCCTGAGTTCAAGGGAGAAGGACCTCAGTTGGATGTCAATCTGCCTGAAGGAGCGTTGAAAGTATCAGGTTCTGATGTGAAAATTGAAGCTCCAAGTTTGGACATCAAAGGACCAGAAGGACAATTGAAAGGCCCTAAGGTGAAGATGCCTGAAATGCATTTCAAAACACCTCAGATCTCCATGCCAGAAATTGATTTAAATCTGAAAGGTCACACGGTGAAAGGCGATGCAGATCTCTCCGTTCCAGGAATGGCCATCCAAGGACCAGGACTTGAAGCTAAAGGTCCAGAGATTGACTTGGAATGTCCTGATGTGAATATTGAAGGGCCAGAGGGCAACGTTAAACTCTCCAAATTTAAGATGCCAAAGTTTGGATTTGGAGCAAAGAGCCCCAAGGCTGATGTGAAATCTCCCACGTTGGACGTGTCCCTTCCAGAAGCTGAGCTGAATGCTGAGTCACCCGACATTGCTCTTTCTGCCAAAGGGAAGAAAAGCAAATTCAAAATGCCCAAAATCCACATGAGTGGACCTAAAGTCAAAGGCAAGAAGGCTGGTTTTGATGTGAGTGGAGAAATGGACGCCAATGTGAAATCACCGGATTTGGAAGGAAGCCTCACAGTCCCAGAAGCATCCCTGAAAGCAGATGCCAACATCAAATCCCCCAAGGGAAAGAAACCAGTCTTTGGAAAACTCTCATTTCCTGATGTTGAGTTTGATATAAAATCACCCATGTTCAAGGCTGATGCTTCTTTGCCCAAGGTGGAAGCAGAGGTCAAGATGCCAGGAATAGATGTGACGTCACCCAGTCTGAAATCACCAAGTCTTGAAGCTTCCATTCCCAGTGGAAGCACAAGCATCAACATTGGAGGTCCTGATATTGGCCTTAAGGACCCCGAGTTCAAGCTCTCTGGTGGTCCCAAACTGGAAGGAGATCTGAGAATCCCCAGCGCTGAGGCCAATCTTACCATTCCTGACATCAACCTGAAAGGTCCATCAGTCAACTTACCCTCTGTGGATGTTTCCGCACCTTCACTCTCTGCCCCTGGCGTCGATGTTCACTTGAAAGGACCAAAGCTGAAAGGTGATGTTGATCTCCCAAGTGCTGAAATCCAAGGCCCAGGAGGGAAGCTAAAATTCCCCAAGTTCAGCTTGCCAAAATTTGGGAAGCCGGGGGTGAACCTGGAGGGGCCCGATGTAGACATTCAAGGACAGATGCCCTCTGCACACCTTGATGTCTCTTCCCCACGAATTGGAGGAGAGGCAAGCATTCCTGAAATTGATGTGAACCTGAAAGGACCAAAGCTAGGAAAAGACCTGGGTCTTTCTGGTGAGATTAAAGCTCCAAAGATAGATGTTGGCGTGCCAGATGTTGGTGTCAGTGGATTTGAAGGGAAGTTTCAGATGCAAAAGTCTTCAGGTCTAGATGTCAATTTAACCGCTCCAGATGTTGACATGAAAGGGCCGACAGTTAAGATGACTTCGGAAGGAGGCATTTCTGGACCTGAGGTGGACATCAATCTGAAAGGACCAAAGATCAAAGGAGATCTCGGCATTTCTGGTAGCATGACATCCCCCAAGGTGGAAGGCTTTGGAGGTGGAGTTAAACTTCCCTGCATGAAACTTCCTCAGTTTGCCATCGCTGGTGAAGGAGGGAGCATTTCAGGACCACAGATCAAAAGACCTGAAGTTGACTTTGATTTGAACATGAAAGGACCAAGTTTGCAAGGAGATGCCCAGATTGCCACTGACTTGAAAGGTCAACATGTTGGACTGGAAATGCCAGGCATGAAGATTTCTGGCCTGGACCTGGACACTGGGATCCCTGATATCTGTCTGAGAGGACCTTCCCTCAATGTCTCCGGTCCAAAGGTTTCTGGGCCAGACTTTGAGGTCAATCTGAAAGGGCCCAAGGCCAAAACACCAGAGCCACACGTGGGTGCCAAAGGGACAAGGGAACTTCACTTCTCTGGACCAAAGATAGGAGGTGATCTCAGTGGTCCCAAATTAAACATCAAAGGTCCTTCTGTGGGGATGGATGCCCCACATGCCCATTTAGAAAGTTCAGCTGGAAAGGTGTCCTTCCCTAAAATGAAAATACCGAAATTTGTGGTGGCAGGGCAGGAACCGGTGGGAAGGGAAGTTGGGGTCGATGTTGAGTTTCCCCAACTGCCACAAGCAAGTCTCCACGTTGAGGCTGGGACGGTTGAACTGGAAGAACCTGACCTGAAATTGAAAAAATCTAAAATCAAAATGCCCAAGTTTGCGTTCTCCAGACCCAAAGCCAAGGGAAGCGTGGGCTCCCCGGAGGCCTCGGTGTCTGTGGCCGGAGGCGAAGGAGAGATCAAAGCAACTTTAGGGTCCTTAGAAGCTGAGGTGGAACTAGGGGAAGCAGCCAGCTCACCCAAAGGAAAGTTCTCCTTCTTTAAGACCAAAAAATCTCGGCACCGGTCATCCTCGTTTAGTGACGAGCACTCCTCGCACTCCACCCCAACCGGTACCCTGGAGCACGAAAGAGACAAAGGCAAGCATGCCAAGCTCAAATTTGGCACTTTTGGGGGGATAGGGTCAAAAAGCAAAGGGTCTTACGAGGTCACGGGAAGCGACGAGGAGGCAGGGAGAATACAAGGCAGCGGGGCTTCCCTGGAGTCCAAAAAATCTCGACTCTCCTCATCTTCCAGTAATGAAAGCGGGACGAAAGCTGGCTTCCGAGTGCCGGCGGTTGAGTTGACAGTGGCAAAAAAGAAAGAATAGTCCAGAAGGCTCGTGTACATAATGCCCCTGTATATAATGTCCCTCCCGCCCAATTGCCCTCTCCTTCTCCCTCTGTATATTTATATTTTCCCCGGCTTCAAATATTTTGCAATGAAACAGGTGATCTACAGTGAAATAGTAGGGTTTTCGAGCAAAGTGATTACTGTTTTACTGTGAATAGGGCAGGTTCCACTGAAAGACCGCTATCTTCCAGAGATCTAAATCAACTAAAACTGATACAGCAACGTCTGTGGTCATCTACCCATAGGGCTGGTGGCAAGCAGATTATATGTCATTGGCACAATTTTCATGGTGAGTTCACGATGGATCCTACCAGAAATTTCCAACCCTTTGCTGGGGTCGTGAATATCCCCAAATTCTTCCTAAGGTGCACAACCAAGAACACGCATATTTTTTAAAAAAAAAAAAACTTTAAAAAGCAGCCTTGAAACAAACTATGGTGGCATCAGTCAGCTGTATCAGTTTGAGTTCAGTCAATATAAAATTCTTCCAGATATACAGATGAGCAACAGGCAATATTTTGCAGACGGAGAAGTGATCAATTTTGAAAAGCCTGAATTATGTGATATTTAAAGCTGTGCCATAAGGAAGATAGATGTACAGTTTTTTGGGAGTATTTTGGACGATTTTATTTTTATGTTCAGGCATAGGATTGTGCTTTGTATGCTATAAGAGCTTTATGTTTACCTAAGCAAGCTTTGATTGAGATATATTATATATGTATTTCAATTCACTGAATATCTTCAGTGTTGATCCATGAAAATGTGTTAATTTTAACTATTAGGGGTTTATTTTTTTTTGCTTTTACCTGCAGGGGGCTAAAATGTTTTATCATTTAAAATTATGGATATATGAAAAAGAAACACTGCACATATACAGAGGCAAGTGAGATGTGTCACATTTGGGCCTTGGTTGCAACAAAAATGACTTTTTATTTGTTCGATAAAACAATTAAACCGACTCCAATCAAATATCCACATGTAATTTATTTGTTGTTCAAAAGATGCATTACTGTTGCAAAATAATTCAAGCCACAATCCTTACGACAACATCTTAGTTGTTTCTGTATATTTCTTATTTTTGTAAAAGAAAGAAGTTCCCTTCTTTGAGGAACATGTATTTTTGTCATTAATTCCTCCCAACAGATGCAAATTGTTATCTTTTGTCATTAACTGTACCTTGATTATAAAACCAAACAATACAAAGAAAACTATTTTTCAGCACTTTAATGGCAAATTAATTGAGAATGTATGGAAACTGATCTTGTAAAATGCAAATAAACTGTTTATTAACCTTTTAACCACTGTGCTCTTTTTGGGTTGTTTTGTTGTTCACTTGCAGCTATTATTTCCCTTGAGGTGTCCATATTTTCAAGCAATGCAGAGCAGACAAATCTGCAAAAGTAAAAATAGATCTTCCAGGCTGTGACCAACATTGTCCTAATCAGCTGGAAAATCAGTTTGATACATGGAATTAAGGGAACCACCATTTTTGGCCTGTAAAAGCAAAAACATATGCATGGACATAAATACAATATACAAGTAGACCTTGACTGAACAACAGTTTGCTTAGTGACTGTCCTAAGTTACAACAGCACTGAAAAAAGTGACTTATGACTATTTTTCAGTTACGACCTTTCCAACATCCCCAGGGACACATGATCAAAATTCAGAGAGTTGGCAACTGGCTCATATTTATGATCGTTGCAGTGTCCCGGGGTCACGTGATCCCCTTTTGCGACCTTACAACGTCAATGGGGAAGAAAGATTCACTTCACAACAGTGTTACTAACTTAAGAACTGCAGCGATTCATTTAACTGTGGCAAGACAGGTCGTAAAATGGGGCAAAACTCACTTAAATGCCTCACTTAGCAACAGAAATTGATTGTAAGTCAAGGACTACCTTATTAGGAAGTTTTCTCTGCCATTCAAACATTGGAGCAGATCCTTGGGAATGTTGCTGGGGGGGGGGAGTTGAGAATAGAATAGAGAAGAAAAAATATTAGAATCTATATAAATAAAAATGTAAATGTTCGTTTGTTCAAAATCTTAAATCTCCGAAAGTTCTTCACCGATTGCTTTGAAATTTTGACACAACGTTGCATTCGAATACGCGCGTGTTTTTATATACCTACTATTATATAGATGTCACACCTGTGACAGGTAAAAACATGCTTTTTTTGAACAATAGTGCCATCTGTTGGACGTAAAAGCATACCCACAAGCATTGTGAAATTAAACATATTACAAACGTGCGCTTTCTCTTTTCTTTCTTTTCCATTTAACCAGACTGAGCCACAGCAATGCGTGGCTGGGTACAGCTAGTAGAGAATATAGAAAAGAAAATACAGAATAGGAGAGGAGGGAAGGGACCTCGGAGATCTTCTAGTCCAACCCCCTGCCCAGGCAGGAAACCCTATACCAGGGGTCCTCAACCTTGGCAACTTTAAGACTTGTGGACTTCAACTCCCAGAATTCCTCAGCCAGCTTGCTGAGGAATTCTGGGAGTTGAAGTCCACAAGTCTTAAAGTTGCCACGGTTGAGGACCCCTGCATACCATTTCAGACAAACGGTACAGCTTTGCTCTGGTCCCAGGTCTACTCAGAAAAAAAAACCCTTGCGTGTTATGAAGATGAGTCCCTTGTAAACTCGACTCGAGCACTGCTAAAATTAAGGCGAGGCTTTCCAAGCAGGGTTTTTTTTAAAAGTCCAAATCT